ACTCCGTGCGCAAACATGGCGAAGTATTTGGAAATGACGTTGGACGCGAAGCTCAGATGGAAGGAGCTAATAAAGAAAAAGAGATCTCAACTAGAGGAGGAATACAGAAAGTTTGCATTTGGAGGCGTTCTAAATTGACAATATACAACAAAGTTTTGATATATAATCAAATATTTAAGCCTGTCTGGGCTTACGGTATTCATTACGAAACATTGTAAACGGCCCTTGGTATGTCCGTAATGTCAATATACACAGGGGTTTGACGATCCTAAGTGTCACAGACGAAATTAAAAAGCAAGCATCCAATCATAAAATGCGTTTATCCAATGATGTCAACATCGAGGCGGCTCGATAGGTTGACAATCAAAACTTTATTAGGAGACTTAAACGTACGAGATCTCTCGAGTTAGTTTAAAGTTTTTGATCTGGAACAATGAATACTTAGTACGCTATTGTGCCAGATCAAAAGCTTACAAATAATCAAAAAAGTTAGAGCAAAATTGATTATTTTATAGATTATTTTGAGGAGCGTGTTTTTTAGTGGATTAAAGTTCCACACTACTGCTTCTCGTCTGGCAGTGTCTTTCGAGATTTTTCACCCTTCCTCTCGGTAAAAAAAAAAAAAAAATTTTTTTTCTTTCCTCCTAACTTTTTCTTTATGACTGCTCACATTAGACTTATTGTTTGTAATTTGCGTATGCTTCTCTTTCTTTAGCTTCTTATTTTCAGCCCACAGTTGAAGAACCTCGCTTTTCAAAGCCACACAGAGCTGTTCTAGTTGGCTAATCATTTTGTGTATGTCAGCATTCTGATCATCACTTTCTTTGTCTTGAGCTTTACTCATGTTTATATCCTTATTGGTCTGTGGAGCTTGAATGTTCGGTAGTCCACCTTCTATATTTCTATTCTTTTCTAAAATCCGCACATCAGATGTAGGTGGTGAACACCGGGTTTTCGTGTTCCTCCTGAACGGATAAATCAAATGCAATAAATAGCTCTCCCCAGAATCCGTAGAGCCGACCTCCGAAGAGGGTGGATTCTCCAGCGTAGTTGAATTACCACCTGGGGTACTAAATCTTTTTGTTTTGCCCATTGCACAAATGATTAAATTCTGCATTTTATACCTACTGCCGGGATTCAAAAACTGCTGTCCGTCAGCGATCAGACGCAGACCAGGGAGCCGCCTATTCTAGGTCAGAAGCTTCTGGATTTACCGCCCGCGCGCTTCTTAACCAACGATACCCGGATTAAGCGCCGAGTACTCGCTTTCATCCGTTCTCGTCACCCTTACTAAGTAAGTTGCGCAGGAGACACCCGGCAGATAACTATATTACCTACCTTCTGGGAGGTGAGAGTCGGATTTGTTGGCAGAGCTGATGTTTTCAGAGGGCATTTCCTAGCATTTTCAGTTTCACATGTTAGGAAAATGTGAGACTGACTAGAACCCATGCCAACTTTTGTCCCCCAAAGAAAAAATGAAAAAAAATTTTAAATTCATATTTCAGTATTGTTTCAAATATTAATGAGGAAGGATGTATGATTTTTCATGCACATTTTGTGTTTCTCAATAAGGTAAGTTGAGTAATGTCGGCTAACAATAATGTTAATAAAAGTAATATTAGGTCGACACATTTCAACAATTTGAATTATCTCATTTCGGTTATTTACACGTTACTTATAGAATTGTTTCAAATAATTTCAATTAGATTTTAAGTTATTAAAAATAAATATATATGTACCTACTTCCAATCAATTTTTTTTTAAATAATTATTTTAAAACTATTTCAAACAAGTTATATTGAGTGCTTCAAATATTTTGTTGTGATCTTCCTTCATATTTTATTAACAAGGAAACAAGAGCAATCTATTTATAAAGTGGCCCTGCCTGTGTATGAATCTTAATAGTAAACGCAAACGGAAAAAAATTTACGGATATCAGTACCTGCTACTTGTCATTTTACGATCGGAGTTTTTGAATCATTTGCAAAGATACTATTTATTTCAAAAATAAAAAAGATATTTGAATCCGGTCATTAATATATATTATTGTCTTTTCCAAAACCTTTTAAATATTTTTTTTCTTAAGTAATATATTAAGTTCTAAAAAATTTTTTCAAAAATAGAGGGAAAATTTAGAAGTGTATATAAAATTTGTATTTAAAAAATAATATTTGATTGTATTTTAGATATTATTTTCTAATTCCCTCTTCAAATTTTTTCTTTACTATGTATTCATATCAATATTTAATAATTATCTTTCATTAATTATATTTTCAACTTGACACCCCAGTTACTTCCTATATCTTGCGTTAACTTATCCTATGGGAAAAAAAAGCTGTTCACGTAAAATTAATGAAATGCTTTCAGTAACATATAAAACGTTGAAGCCGAAGGTTGTGCTTGTTGTTTTTCCGCTTTTTTTTAATTTTAAAATAATTATCAATGAAAATATTAATACATTTTTTTGATTTTTCAAATATATTTTCGAAGTTTTACCTGCTTTATAATAAGTGTGAATTTATTTTAATATTTCTTCTCAAAAAATAGCCACTTCGATTTAAAAAAACTCATATAAAATATGGTCGTGCTTTCAAGTTTCTCTCTTAGCATTGGGACTTGTTAGATATAAAGACATTAATATTTTACATAATGTTATTAAAAAAGAGCATTCTAATTATACTTGCAACAGCATTAAAGTTGTGGTTTTAAAAACCATTAGGCAAAAGAACAGATGTTATCTACTAGCTATTATTATTTTTGGTTCGATTATTGTCTCTTCTATTACAATACCTGTTTATGTTAAATTAAAAATCTAGGTGCATCGTACAAAAATAATTTATGTATTTGCAAGTAATTACTTTTTGTTGCGTTCGTTTCCATTTCTTTTCCAGATTTCCAAATCGCATTTTAATTTATAACGCTGATAACTTCCCTATTAATATATGTAAATACAAAAAACCAAAAAACGTAACATATTAGAAAAATCTAACAAATACTATACAGAATTGTAAAATAAATATTTTTAATATTCCGTAGTTAGTTTTTACTTCATCGTGTAAAAATAAAATAAATATTTTATTTTTTATTTCATAGTTACTTCTGCTTCAACGTTCACATTTAAATTACAATTTTATGCCAATTTTCTGACTTTTGAATTGATATTTTACAAAAACCTCTGTACTGAAGTTGAATTCGATTCAACTAGCTGAATTCATTGGTTCATCGCTGATGTATTTTGTATGAAAATTTGAATTTTTGACATTCTCTTTTTAGTACAGTTTTTTTTCATTCTCTCAAAAACTTGAATCAACTTCAACTTTAGTGCGGAGGTTTTTTAAAACGTCAAATTTACGTATACTGAACTATTAAAACTACATAATTATAATCCTTGTCAAAAAAGTAATAAATGCATAATAAAAAAAAACGATCAGCTTTTTTCAGACGCACTAATGAACAATCAAGAGAAAAAATAGTTCGACTACAAATAATTCAGCTCAAAAATGACCAACCAAGGAATCCAGGTTTTTTGAGAGAGCCAAAAAAAATGCTGCTCTCAAAATAATGAGAATGTCAAAAATTAAAATTTTCATTCAAAATACATCAGCTCGTTGCAAAAGCGAATAACCAATGAATCCACCTTTACACTCTCTAAAAGATCGTATCTCAAAAAAAAAAAAACAGAGTGAAGCCAAAAATTTCAGGTAAATCTCTTTGCTCTAAGCATTGTTAAACTGAATTTAACATTGAATACCAAATTTTCCTGCTTTTTTTTTTTTTAGAAAAGTACGTCGCGCTAGTATAAAAAGTAATTAAAGAAAATTTTGTTATTTTATTTATAAAATTAGTGCAGTTTTGAAATTAAAAATCATAAAATATTCAATACTAATTAAAAAATAATTATTTTATAAAAATTTAACAAGTGAAAAAAAGAAAAAAATTTGTTGAAAAAGAAAAAGGTGTATATGTACATTATTTGAAATATATTTTTCTTTATAGAGTGAAGATTTGTTTACCAACAAAATAATTGAATTAGTGTGTGAAGGAATTAGTAACTTCAATTTATGAATAAAGGAGAGCGCGACAACATCCCATCTACATAATGATATTAATTAAAATTTGTTAAAAATTGTACTGTCTTAGAGCTATTAAAATATATATGAAATTACATTTATTATTATTAATTTTGTTCAGTAAAATTGTTAAACAAATCGGATAACATAAGAAATTTTTTAACAAAATATTCTCATTTTCGAGGGTAATAAAATATTGTGATATTAAAATACTTTTAGTTATTTGCAGTTTATAAAATAAATTTATTCAAAGAGAAAAAAAATAATGAGAATTGTTTAAATTTGCTTTGTCAGATTTCTAAAATGGAAAAATATTTGGAAATTTCTTTTAGTTTTTAGTTTAAAAAAAAAATTCAACTTATCCTTCTTACAAATTACACATATTTCATAGTTAAGGCCAAACAAGAAAATAAAATAAATACGCTCCTGTTACGACTTTGGAAATGGCTTCATTGTTTTTTCCTTGCTTTAGTATTTCTAATTCGTTGGTCAAGCTCATGAATTTTCACCATTCTCTTATGATTGTCAATCTTTATATATTTTCGATTCAATGCAGAATGCAGATAAATGCCAAAAAATGATTAATTTATTATTCAAATAAATAAATGTTAGATTTTGTTCATTAGTTGAATGAGAATATTTCGTTTATATATTTTATAATTTAGAATTACTTAATTGGGGCAGAGCACTCAAAATTAATGAAAAAAAATGTACCAATTTTCTTTTGTCCTTGGTATCACATATCTGGGTTTTACAATTTTTTGAAATTCAATTTATGGCAGCCCTGGCTGTCAGTGGAAATTACTGGAAAATTTTTTATAAAAGAAAATTACCTCAGCGTGAGGTGTATGTGTTTGAAAGTATTTAAAATTACATATGTACATATCTTTCCTATAGTTATACTTTAAAAAGCTACAAACATGCGTTTGTTTAATGCAGAAAAAGTATTCAAAATAAAATGGGTTTAAGGTTATTAAAAAGCAAGATTTAAAAATAAAATTTACAAAATTCGATTGGATTTCAAAAAGGTTTTTTTTATTTCTTTTTAGAAAATGTTACTCTTCGTTTATTGCCGTATTGTTGTATTTAAATATGTTTATAAACTTCTCAAACGGGTCAATTTTAGATTGGATATGGCCAAATAGAAATGGTTAGTATTTACTGGTTTTTACTGAATTTTTGAAGTATTTGATATGTACTTTATATTAAAGTATGTATGCCAGTGCATACTTTGTTTTTGTTTTAGACTAACGCGGTGAAGTTTTTAATTAAAAAAGAAGTAAATAATATTTACTTGCAAATAAACATAATTCATATCCTTTATTTACAATACAACTGGGGAAAGATGAAATTACTGTAGAATGAAGGTAGATGAAACTATTTTTACATTTCAGTACCGAAAAATTTGAAGTTCATAAACAAAAAGCGAATACAAATTGTATAACATTAAATTCCTAGGTTGTATAATTTTGTTTCTTAGGTTTTTATTCAAATTAAGATGTTTCATCGGCTAATAAATATGGGTTATAGTTCTGGGAATTTATGCAGAAGTTGAATACAGCTTTTCCATCAATCTCAGTCAATAAGTATCAATTTATTTGGGTAGTTATTTTAGTTTTTAAGTGAAAGAAAAATCTTCGTTTGTTAGAATTTTGTTTTTGAAAAATGTATCTATGTATGTATGTTTATATACATACATTTGATTTAAGACCGAGCTGATATAAATTCTAAGTTCTTTTTTTAAAAAATGTGAATAAGTAAATTCTAATAATAATAAGCATTAGTAGTATCGTATAAAAAATTTGACCATTTAAATTAAAAATTATGCAAAAAATTATTTCTTTTTTTAAATCACGCTCTTAAGTTACCTACATATACATATATGCACATACATATGTGTACAAAAATGTGTAATCTATATAAAAAAAAATTTTATTAAATTTGTTATGTTTATGACTGAATATTTTTATGATTATGGAAAAAATAAAATTGATCTATCATTTTGTAGAATTATTCAGTAGGGTGTTAATGAAACTGAATGAATTTGCAAATAAATATTAATTTTATCTTGTTAAATACATTTTAGTTCAAAATTTCCGAACAGATATTGAGCACAGTGACTCTTCATCACCAGTTATTCCATTCGAATTTAGTGAAAACAATGACCAATTTATTATGGATATATCTAGAGTGCTTGGAATACGTCTTTCCGATTTGGACTTCTGCCAACAGAGAGTAAGAAAAAACACTTAACTTAAAAATAATTTTTCCAGTCAGATACATATATATTAAGGATAAAATTTAAAATAAAAACAATTTGTTAAAATATGAAAAATAGCCCTTTATATTATTAATATTCATATAACATACATATGTATGTATTCCTTCAAGGTTATTTTGTCGTTGAAAAATTCATGCAATGTGCTAACCGACGAAGAACTTGGAAAACTAGCAATTTCTTTAATGAATTGCCAGCATGTTATAGAAAAACGTTCTGTCATTAATTGTTCTACAAAAGTTTCTTTAAGTGATTGTATATCAGAGATGAATCATGATATCAAGGTATCATATGGAAATGTTTTGAGTAGAACTAAATCAGTATGTTTATCAATAAGACAGAATCAGTTTCGTGGTATGACGGAATTAACTATAAATAAATTAATACTTCAAGTTGAACGTTTGAGAGCATCACAAAGTCAATTAGAAAAGGCTACGCTTAATACTATTGAGGACATATCAGATAACCAATTAAAACTTCTAGAAAAACAAAGTGACTTATTAAACTTAGTAAATTCACAAAGAAATTCAATTGAAGAAAATTTAAAAGAAATGTTAAGGGAAAAGGCTGTTTTAAGAAGCGGCCGCGCTGATCTTAGTTTATTTATTGGAAAACTTAAATCTGAAATTGGCAAGTTTTTTTCAACAGTGCTTCTATAATTTTTTTTGTTTCATACTAAAATTTTGTTTTTATAATTACTTTTAGAATTTTATATCTTTATTGAAATAATTTTTTAGTTAAAAACTTAAATGAGCTTAATGAACAAAACACTGAAACAAAAGAAATTTTCAAAGATTTTTTTGACGATTTGGTAAAAATAAATGAAGTTTCAACCCGAATATCAAAGCAATTATTAGATACTAACGTGGTTGTTGAAAATTATACAAAAAAAACTAATGAAAATTTCGAAGGTGCCGTTCAAAAATTAAAATACTTAAATGAAGTTTTACAAAATTTTGTTAACCAAATTGATAAGCTGAAACAAAATTTTAATGCCAATGTTAAATGGATAGAACCAATATTAGGTGCTGGAGGTAAATACTTTTAAATGAAATGTCACTTAACTTTAAATACCATTTTATTTACTTTGTTTCTAGATGATTATTCTCATCGTTGCAGTATTTTAATTATTCACACGCTATACCTTCTTTTAGGAATGATATGTTTGATTTTCATAAATGCTTCAACAAGCAGTCGCTTTTTACTTCTTGGAATTGTTTTGATAAACTTCGTATGCGCTAATTATGACCTTTTCAATTTAAATTTGATTCTGTTGTTGAAAGTACTACTTGCAATTCTTATAGGTGAATAATATCAAATATTTTAATTAAAAAAAAACACAATTTATATAAATTTTTCTTTTCTTCTAGTAAATTTGTGCAATAAAATAAAAAATAATTACGATGTCATTAAAAACCTTTTCAAACTTTTCAAGTTAAGTGAAAATAGGGATATTCCGGAAAAAAACGTTCTGGAAACCATTTCTGACACAAACGGGTATAAAACTTTAAATGTTGCCGCTGAATGTAATAATAATGAATATATGGATGGAAGAGAAGAAATAATTGTAAATCAAAATGAATCATATGCCTCATCACGGCAAAATAGACTTAATTTTCGTCCTATTTTGGAGGATTATGACAAACGTTCAAGTTGTAATTCAACTCCACTACATACAACAGAACTGTCACGCAACGACTTAGGTCGATGTAAAGCTATCACATGTAAAGGCTCTCGTTGTCACTTTAGTACACTTTCCATGTATACGGATTTCTGTCGCATACATGAGTGCTTTTCTAGAGATATTTAATTGTGTTGTTGAATTAAATATATGTTGATGTATGAAAATTTTAAAAAAAGATTTTTTACCATAATTTATAAAAGCTACATTATGTATGTACTGAAATCAAAGACACATAAATATATATTTATCAGACATCCGACCTAGAGAAAAATTTTGCAATTTTCATAATTTTTGTAGACTGATTTATTGAGCTTCGTTGAAATATGCACCAGATTTTAATTTCTGTTATACAGCAAAATATAAAAAAAATGGCAAACATATGATTAAGGTCAAGTTATATCTTGACGTTATGTACAAAAATCTGATATTTTTTTCCTTTGAGTGACTGAGTATTATTATCCAGCATCATAATTTACATTTATTCACTAATTATCATTCACTTTCCAGCAATGCCTTTTATTATGATCGGCAAAGCGAATTTTCGTTTTTCGTTTCGAAAATTTTTTGCATTATGATTAGCGAATTCGCCTAAATTTTGGGCGAATGAGCTATCAAATCTGTAGAATAAAAATTCTGTGTGACAAGCTTGGCAAATGAAACCAAAAATCAAAATAATATAAATGTAACATATTTTTCACGGCTGACAGAAATGCAAGTCTGTGCCTTAAGAGAGTGACAGTTCACAGCTAACGAATTTACACGTATTCTTATGGGATCTAATATCAACATAATACATACATTGGCCCTTTTTAACATCATAAGTCTCCCATAAAATCAACTTTCTTCAAATTTTTAGTTAGAAAAAGTTAAAATTCAATCTTTTTCTACTTTACTAGTGCTTACATTTTTAAAGTTTTGTGTTGTTAAAACATTAAAAAATTGATTTAAAAAAAAATCAATTTATTAGTGTTTTAATATATTTTAATATTTCACGTTCCCTTCATTTTTAAAGATTTCAATAATTGCTACACTACAGGAAAAAAAAAATTGTAATTTTTTTTTTCGAATTATTTAGTTGCACTAAAATCAAACAAAAATTTTCATTTTAAATTTGAGAAAATGTACCTAAATTTGATATTAACAAGTTTGCTAATTTTGTAAGATACATCTCCCACAATGCATACTGCTGATATAATCACATATGTATATATGTATCTATGTATTTTTCATGTGGATACTAAATTAATTAAACCTATATGCTTCATAATTCATAAAAATTACTGCATATGTGAATTCTTTTTATATTAAAAACGAGAAAAAAAATAGAGTTGACCTTGTCAACTCTGTGATACCCGTACGAATTTGTTATCCTATGTGCGAATAACTAATGTGCCATAACTAACTATGGGGCAGACTATGACTTTAAGTTGCCGTATTACCATATTAATTTATGCAAAATTTCAATACTATGTGTTATTCAAAATACTGGTTGTGTCAAACTACTATTGATGTTGTATGGCAGCTACCAGAAAGAGCCAAGAAATTTTAGCGAATTTTATCAAGCACATCGCCCCTACTAATATATTCACTTGTGTGAAATCTCAATATCACAGCTTTTATAGTTTCTGAGATATAGTCAAATAACTTTTGAAGTTGTATGGCAGGTACCAGAAGGAGCCAAGTAATTTCAACGACTTTTATGAGACATATTGGCCCTACTAATATATTCGTTTGTGTGAAATTTCAATACTATAGCTTTAATAGTTTCTCAAATATAGTCAAATAACTTTTGAAGTTGTATGGCAGGTACCAGAAGGAGCCAAGTAATTTCAACGACTTTTACGAGACACATCGGCCCTACTAATATATTCACTTGTATGAAATCTCAATATCACAGCTTTTATAGTTTCTGAGATATAGCCAAATAACTTTTGAAGTTGTATGGCAGGTACCAGAAGGAGCCAAGTAATTTCAACGACTTTTATGTGACACATTGGCCCTACTAATATATTCGTTTGTGTGAAATTTCAATACCATAGCTTTAATAGTTTCTGAAATATAGCCAAATAATTTTGGAAGTTGTATTGCAGGTACCAAAAGGAGCCCAGTAATTTCAACGACTTTCATGTGACACATTGGCCCTACTAATATATTCGTTTGTGTGAAATTTCAATACCATAACTTTTATATTTTCTGAGATATAGCCAAATAAATTTTGAAGTTGTATGGCAGGTACCAGAAGGAGCCAAGTAATTTCAACGACTTTTATGTGACACATTGGCCCTACTAATATATTCGTTTGGGTGAAATTTCAATGCCATAACTTTTATAGTTTCTGAGATATAGCCAAATAAATTTTGAAATTGTATGGTAGCTACCCGAACCGGTACCCCGATCATGTCCAATTTAAAAAGGGTTCTGGCACTTACTACAATAAATCATTTGTGAAAATTTGGTGAACTTAGCTCAATTAGTTTTTGAGTTATCGTTCGGACGGACGGACGGACAGACAAAGCTAAATCAACTCAGAATTTTACGCTGATCAAAAACATACACTTGAGTCTATATCTAACACCGTTATTTCTTAGCGTTACAAACGGTAAGGCAAATTTAGTATACCCTTCGAACATACGTTCGTACGGGTATAATCAATATAATTTTTTCAAGGTACATATGTATGTATATGATTATAGTTTTATTAGGACTTTTTTTCACATTGTTAGTAACGCTAACTCGCTAATTTACCTAAACTACCGTGTCAGAAACTTTAGAACTTATACAAGTTTTTTTAAAATTTTTTTATTATGTTTGTTTTTATATAGGGGACAACTTGAAACGACGCATCTTTTATAACAATTATAAAATTTTAAAAGCACTTTCATAATTACAAAACTTAAAATCAAATAATTGCAAACTTAAATTTTTATTATCTTTATTTTGTGTATTCTAGACTGAAAAATATAGCAACAAATTTTTTTAAATGAAAATAGGCCAAAATCATAATTTTTCTAAAAAAAATAATAATATTAATGTAAGAGTGAACAAAACCTACCAAAAGCAATTCGAGCACTTAATTAAATTAATGGAGAACAACCCCGACATTGCTTAAGGAATAGGAAAATTCAATTGTTTTTGCAAAAGGGCAAAAGCGATCTACACACATACATACATAAATATGTGTGGTGTTAATCTTATTACTTTTGGTAGGTTTTTTGACGTCTTTCGAAAGCAACATTTTGCATCTGGGGAACGGAATCATTCGCCGATCATAATTTAAAATGTCATTCGATTCGCCTAATCCATTCGACTCGATTAGCTATTCGCTTCGCCCATCATAATAAGGGTATTAATGTATAACTGCAGTTATATTTTTATTTTCCAAAATTAGCGGTGACGGAATATTTGTATCCTTTTTCCTTTTATTTTTTGTCAACATTTACTCTGTTTCTATTGGTTTTATGTCATTAATTATAATTGGTTATATTGTTTTTGCATTCATGAATTGCATTATCCTTTTTGGACATAAGTTCAGCGTTTCATCATTATGACTCATTTAGATTTATTAATGATGTACTACGAGGTGGTGACCGTTTTGTTTTGTTTGAGACCATGAGAGGACTGCATAATTCATGTTTTTGTACAGTAGCTTTATTCAATACCATGGTCTGAAACACTACCACTCGTATTGATGATTCTGAGTATTGCAAAAGCTGATCACCCTAGATCTAGAATCTATGGAATCGGTCTCTTTCGAAGAAGACACTATGAAGGAATTGCCATCTGTGGAATTACTCCTTTTAGTTTTTTCCAATGGAATTTTTTAATGTTGGTTTGACGAAGTAACTCCTCTTTTTTATATATTTGGCCGCTCCTAGCATAAAGTAGCGACACCAACCAAGATTCCGCCCATTCTAAGGACAGACGCGTCCTGGGCCTTTAAAGTGTTGTGATATTAACTTCACCATTTCAAGGTGGCTCACAAGACCCGTCATTTTCGTTTGTTCACTGACTCAAACTACAACACATGGATTCGTTACCACATCTTTCATTTTATTAGCAATCCTCAGTTTAACAGAGGAGACCACTTGAAGGTGGCAACTGACTTTAGCATAGCAAAGTTTGCGTTGATGTAATTGGAGACCACCAACTATAACCTATAAATCCGTAATCTCAGACATCTTTATTGTCAAGACACTGTAACCATAGACATCTTTATATTAAAGGTATATTATAGAAGTTTGTGATTTTTAATGATACCTGTATATAAATACATAGAATAAAAATATAAAAAATACAAAAATTGTTAGAAATAATTATAAGTGTGCGTATTTAGTTTTGTATGTAAAGAACATTTACAAATGTGTGTTTCTAACTTTAAACAAGAATTTTTATTCGTTTTTTAGCACTTTTCCAAAAATATTTTGAAAAAAAGTGCTTATTAGTTACACTCTGTCCGTCCGTCCGTCCGTGCACACTTTTTTGTTTACAAAACTTCTACACTCTTGAAGATAAAAAGCTGAAATTTAATCACTTAAGATCTTACCTAGAAACTTATTTCCGTAGAACAAACTTTTTACCTATCTCCCCCCCTCTAGAAGTTATACCCCCCCAAAACCCTAAAAATGGCCTTTTTTAACTATTTGTTGCAATTAAACCATAAGCGTTTTGAAATTTTGTAAACGTAGAAAGGCAGTGGCTTGCTTCCCCTAGCGCGGTATACTATAGTTAAACTTTAGAAAAACAAAATGGCCGTCCAAATTGACTGTTATCTAAAGTCCCTTTTTTCCAAATTTTCGATGTCGTTTTTCTTCCAGACCCCAGCCTGTAGAAGATTAAAATTTTTTGGGGCTTTTAGCAATTAACAAATTGTTTATTTCGTTAGAAGAAAACTTTTTTCCATCTCCACCCCCTCTCAAGTTATCGTCTCTTGAAATTTGTAAAATTTGAATTTTTGACATCTTATATTTCCGAAACCGAAAGCTTTTTCAAATTTTTATAAACGCAAAAAGCTAACGGTAAATTCCATGACATTAAAAAATATAATTATTTTTCTTAACTCACACAATTAACCCTTGAAATTGTGCATTATGTTAACCCCACTTTATATTAATTTTTGCTTTAGTTCAAAGACTGCATAAATCGTTCATCCTAGATATATGCAATCCTAGAAATAGTTTTGTATATGAATGAAAATAATTTTCATAGTGTGATAGGTGCCCCAGTATTTTCAAGAATTATTGAAGAGAAAAGTGCTACAAT